ATCCGTATAAATCATATGTGACTAGATACATATAATCACATATGATTATATGTATTTAATCACATATGATTACAGTGGATAAAGAACAATTATTGAATCGAGAATGTGACAATGAATCTCATCCACATAAATCATATATGATTGGATACATATAATCACATGTGATTATATGTATTTAATCAGATATGATTTATGTAGACAATATTTATTTTTGCGGTTTCGACTAATAATTGCTTTTGTGTAATTAATCACATGTGATTATATGTATATAATCACATATGATTTGAGGTGGACAAGATTCATTTTTTCCTTCTCGATTCAATAGTTGTGCTCATGTACTTAATCACATACGATTATACATATAATCACATGTGATAGAAATATAGAATACATGAGAACAACTATTGAATTAACAAAGCAAAAATGAATTATGTCCACATAAATCATATGTGATTAGATTCATATAATCACATGTGATTATATGTATTTAACCACATATGATTAATTTGGATAAAGATTTGTTTTCGCGTTCTTGGTTTAATATTTGTTATCGTGTATATAATTACATGTGATTGTATGTATCTAATCATATATTATTTAAATAGACAATATTTTTTTTTCCAAATAAAATCATATATGATTAGAAACATATAATCACATCTGATTAAATGTATTTAATCACATATGGTTAAAGTGGAAAAAAACAATTATTGAATCGAGAACGTGAAAAAGAATCTTAGCCACATAAATTATATGTGATTAGATACACATAATCACATGTGATTAAATACGTATAATCACTTGTGATTAAATACATGAGATGAACTAATAAATGAATATTATCCACATAAATCATATGTGATTACATGTGATTATATGTATCCAATCACATATCATTGTTTGGGCAAGATTTATTTTTTCTCTTTCAATTCAATAAATTTTCTCTTGTATTTAATCACATGTGATTATATATATCTAATCACATATGATTTATATGGAAAAAATGAATTTTCTCAATATAAATCATATGTGATGAAATACATATATAATCACATCTAATTATATACACGAGAACAAATATTGAATCAAATATGAATAAAATGGGTGGTGGGTAGTGGTGAGTAGTGATAGGTGGTGGGTGATAAGTGGTAGGTGGCGGTGGTGGTGGTGGGTGAGGGTGGAGGGTGGTGGTTGTGGGTATTGAGTTTAATCACATGTGATTATGTGTATTTAATCATATGTGATTTATTAGGAAAATATTTGTTTTAACGAATCTTGTTTATATAAATCATATCTGATTAGATAAATATAATCACACGTGATTATATGTATTTAATCACATATGATTTATGTGATTAAATACATATAAATAATACATATTATCACACATGATTTATGTAATTATATGTATTTAATCACATATAATGTTAGTGGTTGTAGGTAGTGGGTGGTGGTCGTATGGTGGCGATGCTTGGTGGTGGTGGGTGGGTATAGTTGTGGCAGGTGGTGGTGGTAGGTATTGAGTTTAATCACATGTGATTATATGTATTTAATCATATGTGATTTATTTGGAAAAGATTTGTTTTAACGAATCTTGTTTATATAAATCATATATGATTAGATACATATAATCACACGTGATTATATGTATTTAATCACATATGATTTATGTGATTAAATACATATAAATAATAAATATAATCACACATGATTTATGTAATTATATGTATTTAATCACATATAATGTTAGTGGTTGTAGGTAGTGGGTGGTGGTCGTATGGTGGCGATGCTTGGTGGTGGTGGGGGTGTGGTGGTGGTAGGCGGGTATAGTTGTGGCGGTGGTGGTGGGCGGGTGGTGGTGGTGGTGGTGGTAGTGTGTCGTAGGTGATGAGGGTTGTGGATGATAGTTGATTTATAGTGGTTGTAGGTGGTGGTGGGTAATCATATATGATTTATATGATTAAGTAATGGACAAAGAACAATTATTGAATCGAGAATACGAAAATCAATATTCTACACATAAATCATATGTGATTGGATACATATAATCACATGTAAATATATGTATTTAATCAAATATGATTCAATATGTCCATATTAATCACATGTGTTTAAATACATATTGAATCGAAAATGCGAAAACGATTCTTGTCTGTATCAATCATATGTTATTGGCTACATATAACCACATGTGATTATATGTATCTGATAACATATGATTTTTATGGATAAAATTCATTTTCACTTTCATGATTCAATAGTTGTTTTCATGTACTTAATCACATGTAATTATGTGTATCTAATCACATATGATTTATATGTACAAGATTCATTTTCGAATTCTTGATTCAATAATTTTCTCATGTGTTTAATCACATGTGATTATAAGTATTTCATCACATATGATTAATGTGGACAAGATTTTTTTTCACATTTTTTATTAAATGTGATTGCATACACGAGAACAACTATTGAATTGAGAACATGAAAACAAACTTTTGCCACATAAATCAGATGTGATTAGATACATATAATCACATGTGATTAAATAGAAGAGATCAATCATTGAATCGAAAAAGTAAAAGTGAATATTGTCCAGATAAATCATATGTAATTAAATACATATAATCAAATGTGATTATATGTATCTACTCACAAATGATTTATGTAGACAAGTTTTAATTTCACATTCCCGACTCAATTGTTGTTATTGTATTTAACCACATGTGATTATACATATCTAATCACATATGATTTATACAGAGAATATTCGTTTTACATTTTCGATTCATTATTATCATGTATTTAATCTCATGTGATTATATGTATATAACCACATATGATTTATGTGCGCAAGATTCGTTTGTGTGTTCTAGATTCAAAAGTTATTCTTTGACCACATAAATCATATGTATATAAATACATATAATCACATGTGATTATATGTATTTAATCACATATGATTTATGTGATTAAATACATATAATCATATATGATTTATGTAATTATATGTATTTAAATACATGAGAACAATTACTGAATCACATATGATTTATGTGGACAAGATTTATTATCGCGTTCTTGATTCAATAATTGTTCTTTGCCAACTTTAATCATATGTGGCTAAATACATCTAATCATATGTGATTATATATATCTAATCACATATGATGTATATGGACAAAAAGGAATCTTGTCTATATAAATCATATGTGATTAGATACATATAATCATATATGGTTATATATAAGAGAACAACCATTGAATCAAAAATGCAAAAACAAATCTTTGTTCACATTAATCATATGTTATTAAATACATATAATCAGATATGATTAAATACATGAGAAAAATTATTGAATGGAAAACATGAAAACTAATATTGTTTATATAAATCATATGTGATTAGATATATATAACCACATGTGATTATATGTATTTAATCACGTATGATTTATGTGATTAAATACATATAATCACACATGATTTATGCCATTATATGAATTTAATCACATATAGTGTTGGTGGTTGTAGGTAGTTGGTGGTGGTCCTACGGTGGAGATGCATAATAGTGGGTGGTGGTAGTAGTGGAGTTAGGGTAGGGTGGTGATGGGTGGTGGTGACTGGTGGTGGTCATGGGTAGTAAGTGATGGGGGTCATGGGTGATAGTTGGTTTGAGGTGGTGGTGGGTGTTGGTTATAGGTGGTGGGTGGTAATAGTGGTGAATGGTGGTGGGGGTGACAGGTAGTGGTGGTTATGGTAAGTGGTGGGTGGTTGTGGTGTTGACGGGTGGGTGATGGCGGGTGGTCATGGATGGTGGTGGTGGGTGGTGGTGGTGGTGGCTGATGGTGGTGATGGGTGGTGGTGGCGGGCGATGGTGGTGGTTTTATGATTTAATCACATATGACATATGTGATTAATATGAATAAAGGTTGTATAATATTTAAGCTTTTTTATAGTAATTAAATGTTTGTATTTTAAAATTTTAAAATATAGAATGAGAGTATTTTGGTCTTTTAATAATAATAAAAAAGAATGAAAATGAATTACTTTTGGGAGAGAATAGGTCCGGATTTCATATATCCTGTGTACACTCTCGGTTTTGAACGATATCTTCCAAGCGTTGTAGCTAACATGCCTGCATCGAAAAAATTATAAAAAACTATCAAATTTACATTGAAAATTTAACGATTATAATTTATATGCAACACTTTTATGTAAAAAACGGTCCAATTTAACAAATAGTTTATAGATAAAAGGTCAAATAGGTAAAATTGAAAAGTTTAGCCAAAAAAGAAACTGGCTAAACTTACTTTCTCAGCCTATTCAGTGATTTTCAGATGCAACCTATAGACTTTATTGGACATCTACAAGAATTTATTGTAATCAAGGTTAGGCGGGGGGTAAATATGGAAATAAACATGATACAATAGTTTGATAGCAATTATATGGTATGGTAGTTGAACCATGTCCAAGTTGAAATAGACGAGACGGAAATTATTACCTGTGGGATATTAGAAATATCATGATGGACATAAAAAATCAACTACATAGCAAAAAAAGAATGTACTTTCATTGCATTTGGATGTATTGCAATGAGGAAGAATTTAATATTTTATCAAGCATGTATAATCAGTAACAAATTGCAAAACATACCAGCAATAAGAACTAAGAACTGAACATGCTAATTTGACCAACAATAAGAACTGAATATGCTAAGTTAATCGATTATTCTCCAAAATTTAAAGCATAAATGCAGAATCCATACCCAAGTACATATAACATCAAAAGATTTCACTTTTAGATAGATACCCATATTATTTATACTGAAAGCAAATTCCGATACTACTATTATTTATCAGTGAAAAAAGTGCCATTTTGGCTGCAATTAATTTTTTATTATTCTCTGAAGTTTGAAAGTTAAAAATAATTCATCTCTAAATGGAAATAAAACATAACTCTAACTGAAAATCATATGTTCCCGTGTTTTGTAAAGATCATCATCTACAGTTTTGGTAGAGAAAGTGATCAACAGACCTCATATATATTCCAGAATCGATCATCTTGCAATAACAATTGACTTTAAGCAACTTGAATTCGAATGCGGGGAGAGGCCAGACAAATACTAAACAGATAAAAATAGATGCGAGGTCGGCAAGGAAAGGCCAGACGAATGCATCACGAACGGAGACAAATGCATCACGAACGGAGGAGTGTTTATGAAGGAATCTCTTGTCAGCTTCGAGCAGGACGGATCTAAGGTGGAGAACACGCTGGATAAAATCATTTTGATCGGAATCGGTAGACCTAAATTCGAATGTGGCGTCAATTAAAGCGGAATCGGGGACATCACATAACGAATCCAAAAGTGCCTCAATGTTGAATCGATCGTAATCACCTTTCGAAACCCTAGGTAATTCATCGGAGAAGCACCTACGTTTGGCCATGGTCAGTAGAATAGAGACGGCGGCAGTGAAAGTACACGCTTTTGGCTCTAAAAGTCACTTAATAATGGCAGAGGGATTTTAAACGCACAATAATCTTCAATGGGGAGAGAGAGTCGGAGTGAAGAGGTGGTGGTTCCGGCGACGGCAATTCCCGGTGGTCTCTGTGGTGGTGATGTGGTTCTGGAGTGAAAGTACACACTTTTAGAAATGATCGAAGTGGGTGGTGGGGGTGGGTTGGAGGTAGGTGGATAGGGCTTTTAGTATTGAAATAGCACTTAAACGAAATTAGAAAACAAAAATGCGTGTTTTTTTAAAACTAATAGGCTAAAAAATGTTTTCAAATGTTCTTACGGGGAAAATGTTCTCATTGGAACATAACTATCTCTCTCTCTCTCTCTCTCTCTCTCTCTCTATATATATATATATATATATATATATAATATATATATATATATATATATATATATATATCTATATATATATATATATATATATAGGGAAGTGATTCGTACACAACAATTTTTTCTCATACACAACAATTTATGCATTATAGAGTTGTACAATACAACACTATAAAACCCAAGTTGTTGTGTATGGAGAAAAAATGTTGTGTACGAATCAGTTCTCATATATATATATATATCACGATTTCCTTATTTACATTTCTTGTTGTCTAAGGTTGTTTGTTACCTAAGCATTTAGTCTTTCTTTATTTAGGTATTAGATTCCTTTTACATGTCTTTATTTTTATCCTATATAAATTATTTAGGTATTAGATTCCTTTTACATGTCTTTATTTTTATCCTATATAAATAAAGGGATTGTAATTCCTTTCATTAACAAGATAATAGTTAACTCTTCACTTCACTTGCATTGATTGTTTTTATAAAATAATATATAAACTAAAAATCAATAAGAAAAAAAAAAGAATAATATAGTTTTTTTTATGTATGTGAGGACCAACTCTCAACAAAAATATAGTTTAAGGACGTTCTAAGTTAAAAACAATGAGATAAGGATTAATCACATGCTTTACTCCGAACCACAGGGACCATACGTGTCAGTTATTAAAAAAAAGATACTGGTTAGTGGCTATACGTATTCTTTTTTTCATCTCATTCAAATAATATCATAGCCGTGCCGTAATATCCAACAAATCCTGTGGCTGGAGGGAGACGCACGAAATCTTTAGTCTGCGTGAAGCTACCGGTTTAGAGGTATACTCCATTACTGTTTCCTGTTGATTTCACTTAACGTTCATTGCCAGTATTGATTTCAAAAGAAAATCTTTAACTGAAATTGTTATTGATTTGGAGAATTCATCACTTCATATTATTTAACACGATCTACTTAAATTTGAACAACGTAAATTGATTAAAAATTCCATTGGATATTCTTGATCCTCCATAATATTCTCAAGGCTTTTCCATTTTGATTTGATTTCATAGTGTTTTTTTGCCAAATTTAATGGAGAAGAAAGCACCATTTTTTCTTACAAGGTTGTTGGGAAGAAGTCCTCAGAATTCTGAATTTGGTGAACAAAAAGGTTGGGGTATTACAGCAGATGACACAAGGTTTGGTGGTTGAGGATCATCCCCTGGTTCCACCAGTTCTGGATCAGTCGCCAATGGTTGGGCTGATGAACCTTCTGCTAACCATTACAATGGATGGGCATATGAGAAGCCTGAAAACAAGTATAATGGATGGGGATCTATCCCAGGTGATGAATATGAAACCCTAGAAGCAAGTAGCAATGGTTGCATGAAGGTTGAGCTACCTGAATCTGTACCCACTAGCAATCAATCAAGATTTTTAAACGACGAATCTTTCCCTTGTCCACCAGTTCCTTCAGCTCCACCACTTCCTTATATGGGTTCCAATGAACACCATGCCACTAATGCTTCAAATCATTCGTGTTTGGATTTCAAGAACGATGGGGTTTCAGTGAATCAAATCAAGAAAGGCAATGCATCGTGTGTGGTATGTTGGGAAGCTCCGGTTGAGGGAGCTTGTGTAACTTGCAGACATATGTCTAGTTGTATGCCATGTTTACGTGAGATCGAATCTAAACAAGGGATTTGCCCAGTTTGTCGGGCCAAGATTGACAAAGTTTTGAGGATCTATGCTATCTAAACCAAATAAGCATGAACTCGTACCGTTGTCTTTAGAAAAACAAACATGCACCTCTACATTGATCATACATGTATTATCTTTTAGGGCATCCACAATCCATTAAACTCTATTGGACGTGAACTCTATAGAGTTCAATAGATTGTCACATCATCCATTAAACATCTATACAACACCACCCACAACTCATTAAACACATATTAGATTCTAATCACCACTTTATTTCTTCTATTGAATCATTCAATGATCATTCAACTCATCAATTCAACTTTACTTCATGTCATCATCCACACTCCATTCAACTCCTATTCAATCCTAGTCATCACCCTATTTAACTCTTATATTACTTGCATTGTGGATGCTTTTAGTTATTCTTTCTCTATATATGTATGATTTCTTTGAACCAATTACTTTGATTGATTAGTACATTTTAATGCACTTTTGGGACTCCTAAAAAGCAAAAGAAAAATATGTCCAAAATAGCAAAAGCAGCCTCTGAAAATAGATTTATTTCAGCCCATTTGTAGTCCACTTCAGCCTTTAAATAAGCCCAAAAGATAATTTTTGAGGCTATCTTAGCAGCCCAATTCTCTCTTCATAGAAGCACATCTTCCAGCTAAAAATCCCACATGACGACGAAGCTAAAAAGGAAAAGTGTTGGGGGAGATATAGAGGGGGTCGGTTTTTTAAGAGGTGATCATGCATCACGACGAGGGCAAAAAAAGAGAACAAAAACTTAGAAGGTTTTTAGGGTTGTTTTAGCATAAAAAACTTTGAATTAGTTCAATATCTTATTAATTACATTGTAGTTCTTGGAGTTTAGCTGTCTTAAAAAGCTAAATCACCGGTGTTGATGTTTGATTAGTTTAACCGTTTGATTATGTTTTAGAATGTAAAATGTTGGGTGAAATTGTCAGAAACATTAAGTACATGATCATATCCACATGATTTCCGATTTCTTAATTCTACATTTTAGTCGCAACTAGGTTAGGGTTTTGATGACGAATTACTAAGCATTTAATTGAATATGTAATTGTTTTTTAATTGGTCTAAGGGAGGAGGGAGTCATTCCCTCCCAACCCACCGAACCCACTGTCACATCACTTTTTCTCTTTTATTTTTCTTCATCTTTCACAACCCACAACACACGGAAACCCTATCTTTTTGAACCCACTCAACCCATTCAATTAAAAAAAATACAAAACAACTAAGGTACAAGTTTTAGAACACACGGTACAAGAGAAAATGAGAGAGAGAAAGTAGAGAGAGATGATGAAGTGGGTTAGTGAAACCAATTAAACAATCCGCTGAAGCGGGAGTGTTACCGGCGGTAACTCTATTGCTAATTAAGATTTTGCCTTGATTATTTTGTATTTTTTTTATAATTGAATGGGTTGAGTGGGTTCAAAAAGATAGGGTTTCCGTGTGTTGTGGGTTGGGAAAGATGAAGAAAAATAAAAGAGAAGAAATGATGTGGCGGGTTCAGTGGGTTGGGAGGGAATGACTCCCTCCTCCCTAAGTAGCAAATAGTATACTTAATTTTGGAATAAAAGTGTGCCTGGTATTATAAAATCATGTTGATATGTAATGAAGATCAACCATATTTGCCACTATTCATTATTTTTAAATCATAAACAAGTGAATATGGTTTTGTTATTTGATGGATTCAACACCCATAAACGACCGCGTCTGCTTCTCTGACAACCATATTATCTGTCTGTTACATCCATCGGTGTTACCACATCCTCGATTGGTAGAGAAACTGCGAGGAATTAAATCGAAGTGAACCTGTATGCACGTTTGGTCATAAGCGCGTGTGAGTCATTCGGCTCTTGCTAGTTGCATCTAATTTCTTCAAGTAGAACCTAAGATCGTGCCTTGTTCAATGACGAGAGTCGGTCATATTGTAGGATAATTGTTGTCAGTGGTGCAAATTCATGCTTTGTGAGACCAAAAACAAGTTGTAGAACCATCTTGGTTTTGGACATCGGGTTACCAACATTGGCTAGTTGGTAGGAGAAGTTCTCTTGAGATGATAGTCTAGCGGAGTCATGGGATAAGTTTCATGCGGCTATTTTATAGCAATGTGGCTACATTTTTTTACGTCACATCAAATGCATTTAACAGTAAGTACAAAACTTTCCACCAAGTCTTGCAAGTAATATCATAAAAGTCTTTGGTGTGTTTTGCTTTAGTAAAAGAAAGGTTTGAAGAAGTTTATATTTATGGACAATGTTTTGACATTCCAAAGCTTTACTTTTCTTGGTCCATAGTTTTCTATAACTAGACTGCATAAATAGTTGGTATAGTTTAATAATTGTACCGTACTTGTTATAAAGTAAATTCTTTAGCAACTTGGAATTTTAATATTCCATACAGATACAAATTTGTAATCAGCATAACGCTCCAAACTTGGGTCGACAAGAACTCGAACCTTTACTTTTTTGGGTTTATTTCAAAGATGTGAAATGTCTAAAGACAGAGAAACATTTTATATGTGATTTGTACTCTATGGAATGGAAATTGTGAGATGATATACGTTTGTAATATTCTGGTTTGGGGAAAGGGACGACTTGCTACTTTAACATTTTCTTTTCTACTTTAACTCATTTTATCCTTTATTTATGTTTGTAATTAAACAAAAACATCTGAATATGTAAAAAATTATTTTTAGCAACAAGTACTCTTATTTAATTATATACTTGTATCATAAATATTCAAAAACTTGATTTTATGCATATAACTTCCTATGTGTAATCTGTGGTGCTCCTTTTTTTTTAGTTGATATGTTCATGTTTTATCCAAGATTGTCACTATCGGAAATTATTCATGATTTCTTACGCTTTTTGAAAATCATAATTTAAAGATTGGATAAGATATTACCAAATTTAATTACTCGCCATATTTGTTCGCAAGGCCTTGTTTATACGATAAAATTTTAAATTGATGTTCACTAAGAAATTTATAGTAAAATTAAATTTAACTTACTAAGCGATAAATATATGTCTTGTAGATTCAAAATGCAACAACTAGAAAAAAAAACATCTAAAGTGGAAAAAGGAAATGATCACCGTGATCATGTAGAGCTAAATACACATGATCACAAATATACTAACATCCGTGTCATTATGCTTTGCCTACTTTGAGTTGAATGGATGAAATTGTACTGCTCTATAGAGCTCCTTGCGAATCATAATTCTTGATTTCGTGTTATAAAGATGAATTTTTTAAGGCCCAGTTTCAACTTGAAAGCACAAATGTTTTAGGCTCTTGATGAGATTTTGAATAGAAATGATGAATTTCTAAGGTCTTTTAAAACTAAAGACTTAACTATTGAATATAGACTAAAGATGTGGGATTAGATTGGGATAAGAATTTATGATCTTAGTTGGGATCCTAAGATCCCGGTATAGATTTTGCTTTATAATTGGTCCTAGTGTGGTTAAGGACATTTTTTGTTTTTATGATTCTAATATTTTAAGATGTTAAAATCAATATTGAGACCTTAACAACCATGATTTTACGATTAAGTTTTCTATGTGTATATTATGACAAAGAAATAAACATGCAAACATTCATTTAAAAGAATAATTATTTTATATTTAGTCTTTGTTCTAAATAAAGGAACCATGTCTTGTTGTTGCTATTTTAATTGTGAGGGGAAGATCATTTCATAGTTTCTTTTCATCTTCATAACTTGTGACTTGTTATGAAAGTAGATTGTATTTGAGTTTTTGATGGCCACGAAATATTGAAACAAAAAGTATGGAACTAGATCAAGAGTTATGATAAGCCATAAAACAAGGAAAATATCTATCTATAAGGAAGCCTGTAAATTTTAAAATAATATAT